TCTGTATTCAAGTCCTAGTTGTAGATCTAGCTGCTCCACAGTCCTTCCTTGGTTAATTTTTTCCTAGATGAATTTATTCTTGTCCCCAAGTTTCTTAAAGTATAGATAGCCTTAAGATAAACTTCTTTTCAAACTCTTCTTGCACAACAGTGCAGTGGGAATGCAGAGAGGTGCAGCCACCGTGGAAAACAGTACGGAAGTGCCTCAGAAAGTTAAAAGTAGAATGACTAAGGCGCCTGGGTGGCCCAGTCGATTAAGCGCCCGGCTCTTGGTTTTGGCTCAGGCCATGATCTTGCGGTTTGTGAGTTTGAGCCTGACGTCGGCGCAGAACCAGCTTGAGATTCTCTCACCCTTCCTCTCTCTCTCTCTGCCCCTCCCCTGCTCGTGCTCTGTCTCTTTCTCTCTCTCTCAAAATAGATAAATAAATATTAAAACAAAGGTTTGTTAAAATAGGACTACTTTAACGATCTGGTAATTGCACTAGTGGGTATTTACCCCTCAAAGTACAAAAGCACTCATTCAAAGGGAAACATGCACCCCTGTGTTTATAGAAGCATGATTTACAACAGCCAAACTATGGAAGCAGCCCAAATGCCCACTGATGGATGGATAAAGACGGAATATTATTTAGCCATGAAAAAGAATGAAATCTTGCCATTTGTAATGACATGGATGGAGCGAAAGAACATCATGCTAAGCGAAATAAGTCAGAGAAAGACAAATATGGGGCATCTGGGCCGCTCCGTCGGTTAAGCGTCCAGCTCTTGATTTCACCTCAGGTCCTGATCTCACGGTCGGTGAGATGGAGCCCTGCATCAGGCTCTGCAATGATGGCCTGGAGCCTGCTTGGGATTCTCTCCCTCCTCCTGCTCTCCCCACCCCCCCCCCATTTGAGCTCACTCTTTCTCCCTCCCTCTCTCTCTCAAAATAAATAAACTTTAAAAAAATGGAAAGGCAAATACCAGATGATCTCACTCATATGTGGGATTTAAGAAACAAAACAAACGAGCAAAGGGGAAAAAAAAAAAAAGAGAGACAAACCAAAAACCAAATTCTTAACTATAGAGAACACGCCGCTGGTCACCAGAGGTGGGGGGGGAGGGGGGAGGGGGATGGAGACTCAGGGGAGCACTTGTCACGATGAGCAAGTGGTGATGTATCGAACTGGTGAATCACTGTATTGTACACCTAAAACTAACGTAACACTGTATGCTAACTATACTGGAATTAAAGTTTTTTTTTTAATAAGCTTCTTTTCTCCCTGGTTAAAATGAGAATTCTACATCATTGTGGTCCTACGCAATGGTTAGTATAGTGCCAGGCACATGTTAGATGGCGGGGTCCTTGATCCACTGAGGTGGCCCTGGGGACACCCTGCTCCTTGGGACTTCAGGTCCAAGCCTTGGATCAAGGCTGCATATTTGGGCCATAATAATTAAAATCTCTCGTAGGGTTGCCTTCACGGAGTTGAATTCAATTTAAAAGGCTTGGCATTTTTGGAGGGTTGGGGAAATTAATTCTCTATTGCATTTGCTATTAAAAAAAAAAGTTGTAGGAGGACATTGCCTATCACATCATTCAAGGCCTCCTTATATAAAGTCCCGCAGAGGTTTTGTTTTTTTTTTTTTTAAATAACTCTGGTGCCAGAAAAGCCCTGCTTCCCCTTCGTGTCTGTCATGCTTCCTGGGATAAGAGCACAGTACATGTTCTGTTTCTTTCCATTCTGGAGAGCCATAGGCTTGACTGGGTTTCCGTTTTTCCTCTCGCGCTCAGAATGCTCAGGTCCATTTCTAGGCTGGTTCCCGTCTGTAATCGTGTATGTTGAAGAGGTATTTTTCTTGTGTAGATATTTTAAATTTATTTTTAGATTTTGTTAGTGGCTGTTTTAAAGCTTCCCCTCCCTCCAGTAACAAAAATATTTATTATGAATTTTGGAAAAAAAGAGAAAAACTGCCTATGCTCTAATAACCCAGTGATTGTAGCATCCGGACAGATTTGAGCATAGAGTATTTCCTGGGGGCGCCTGGGTGGCTCAGTCAGTTAAGTGTCTGACTTCAGGTCACAGTCTCATGGTTTGTGAATTCAAGTCCCGGGTCAGGCTCTGTGCTGACAGCTCGGAGCCTGGAGCCTGCTTCGGATTCTGTGTCTCCCTCCTTCTCTGCCCCTCCCCTGCTCACACCCTGTCTCTTTCTCTCAAAAATAAACATTAAAAAAATTTTTTTAAAAGTATTTCCTTCTGTATCATTAGAAATTGCAGACCAGAAGATTCTAGAAGTAAGCATGCAAGGGATTATTCTCTCATGTAAAAAAAAATCCGGAGGCAGGCACTCTAGGTCTGATATGACGGCTCCATGATGCCATTAGGGACCCCACGCTCCTGTCTTTCTACTCTGCTGTCCTCTTAACATGGCTCTTAGACTGACCTCAAGGGCACTTCATGGCCCAAGATGGCTGCTGGGGGTGCAGCCATGTTGCCTACATTCCAGGGATGCAGGAAGGGAAAAGGGTGGAAGAAGAGTTAATTTTCTGCCTTTTAAGGAGCCTTCGGAGAAATCAGACCAGCACCTTCAGAATTGACTAGAATTGAGTCACGTTGACTCACCCACCTGCGAGGGCATCTGGGATCTGTAGTTTTCTCCAGTGAGGCAGGCCCGTTTTACGGGTCTCTGTTACAAGGAAGAAGTAGAGGCTTCCTTTTGCGAAGCAGTGAGCTTTCTGCCACATTTCTGGATAGTTCTCGATGCATATCCATTCAGTGTTTTGTTGAAGCCGTCTCAAATAGCGCGTGGAAAAAGTCAAGGTGCAGGTAAATGGCAGTGTGAATGACAACAAAATGCCAGGTCTGAAGCGCCACTTCCGTAATTTTTCTATGAATTTATTGTTTATCTGTATACTGGCAGTGGACGTTCTGAATATTCGGTCAGTACAGACCTATCCAGGGCCAGAGGGGTCTTAGGCAGGTCTCTCCTCAGCTTGCGTATTCCAATGCCCACAGGCGCCACTCAGGCGTCCTGAATGGTTAAGCAGGCTGGGCGTCTGTGTCGCCGACTGCGATGGAGAGAGGCAGGGACCGTGGCGGCTTGGAGGTCGTAGGCCCCATCTGGAGGGGCGGCTGCCTCTCAGCTCCATCCATTGTTGCCAAGTGAGAACGCAAGCTCGGTGCTGCCAAATCTTCTGATTTTTTTCTTTTTTCTTTTTTTAATATTTGTTTATTTCTGAGAGAGAGAAAGAGAGCACAAGTGAGTAGGGGAGGGGTAGAGAGACAGGGGGACAGAGGATCTGAGCTGTCAGCACAGAGCCTGATGTGGGGCTCGAGCCCACGAACTGTGAGATCATGACCTGAGCTGAAGTTGGACGCTTAACTGACTGAGCCACCCAGGTGCCCTGTAATTTTTTGTTTTCAAGAGAAATCAGAAATTCAGATTTTTATCTGAAATCTCCAGTTGTTTATAAGTTGGCAGTTAATAAACTCAGTCTTTGAAAATGCCAGCCACTGGCAGTGCCATCCGGGGGCTGCTGCTTTAGGACGTTCTGTCTGCTCCGTCCCATTTCCTGGCTGGCAGCCCAGGAGAGGTCATCAGGTACACTGTGATGTGGCTGGGGACTTTGCTCTTTGGTCCCCCCCCTCAACAAAGCCTGGTCCTCCGTGGCTGATTTGTCTCTGAATATGAAGAAATAATAAAAATCTGAGGTTGAGCAAGGCTACTCTGAAGGTTAATTGAGTCCCCCCTTCAACTGGCTTTCATTTCCTGTTGAAGTCATTTCAGCATGGTGGAGTCGGAACACTGGGCTCGGCTCCCAGCTCTGCTGTCTCACCGCTGTGTGACTTTGGGCCAGCCGCTGGTGTCTCCTCTGTGTTTTCGGCCTTGTCCGTTTTCTTTCTTGCCTGCTTCTCTCTCTCTTCCTTTCAAACAGCACAGCATGGTGGTTAAAAGGTGGCTCCTGGGGGCACCTGGGTGGCTTAGTCGGTTAAGCCTCCGACTTTCGCTTGGGTCATGATCTCGCGGTTCGTGGGTTCAAGCCCCGCGTCGGGCTCTGTGCTGACTGCCAGCTCAGAGCCTGGAGCCTGTTTCAGAGTCTGTCATTCCCTCTCTCTCTGACCCTCCCCTGTGCACGCTGTCTCTCTCTCTCCTAGAAATAAATAAAACATTAAAAAAAAAATCTTTAAAAGGTGGGCTCCTGGAGTCCGAGACGAATCCTGGTTTCTCTAACTGATAGATGGGCTGCCTTGGACAAGTTTCTATGCCTCAGTTTCCTCATCTGCGAAATGGGGATGATAGTAGTGCCTGCTGCATAGTGTGCAGCAAGGATGGAATCCACTGGTGCACGTGAAGCACCAGGGACAGAGCTTGGCACGTGGATCACGCTATGTAAACACTGGTCGGCCCCTCTCCCCCACCCTTTTCTCTTTCCTATTTCCTCTGCTGCTTTGGAGGCCATGCATTTTCAGCACAGTGGGCCTGCTCTGGGTCCCCGCTCACAGGGAGCACCTTGCGCCCCTGGCCCCCGGCCCTCAGCCCCAACGCAAACCGCGCAGGCAATGCGACTTTCCACTGCAGGCTTCCAGTGCTGTGCTGCTTCTGGTACGGGGTCTCTGAGCCGTCCACGCACTTACCCTTGTGACATTTTTTTTTCTGTCGTTGCTATATGTTTGGGAGAGAAGGAATGAGTCGATTGACCGCTGTCTTGACCTAAGGCCGTGCTCAGTTAGTTCGTTTGGTCACCCAGGTGATCCCTGTCAGGCGCTTTTCTGAAGATGATGCTATGAGATAAAGCATGTGAGCCGTGTGGATTTGCTTTAGCCAGAGCCGCCCGTGTGTGGCTCCATCAAGACTGTCCCCAGCAGGTCTGGCCAAGTGGCCAAGAGTGTGGCACCCGTGTTGATGAAAGAAATGGCCTTTCTCCCTAGAGACTCAAAGTGAAGAGAAACTTAGCCCATGCCTTTATTTTAATTCCGTTGCTTTCTCATCCTTTAGAACCTGACCATCCAATCTTTTCAGCTTTTAGGGTAATTTGAAGAAGAGATCTGACCTGAGCAGCCCCGCCAGACAGCTCTGCAAGGACAGTTAACCTTCTCCGTAGAGAGGAACAAGGGACATAGGTATGTATGGCCCAGACTTCTGGTTTTGCTTCTCTTCACTTCCCTTTACGTGAGTAGTGAGAGGAAGTGGGGAAGGAGGCACTTATTCTCTTAATTCGATAACATTTCAGTTCTTGACCAGCGAGGAAACTGGTAACGCCATGTGCTGTGTTTCTCTGTTCTCTTTCCAACTAAGGGGACGAGAAAGAGCATATGACCAGCATTGTGTCAATGACATTGGAACTCTTGCTGGATCTTGTTTTGGACCCTTTGCTCACTACACTTAAAAACCCATATTCATGCCCAGCGGCCTCTTGGATGTTTGTCTCCCATCGGCTCGATGGCCTTAGGTGGCGGGGCTCCCTGGTAGATCGAGGGACCAACGCTGTGGGTGATGCCCTTGGAGTGCGTTGCGGCTCTACGTGCGTCCGGAGGCCACAAACCCCATGGAGGACCTGATTACATCTGCAGATCGTCACATACACACAGACCTTCACAGAGAATTTCAGGGTGTCCCCTGACCCTAGGATACCCTAGGGGACCCACAGACCCTAAGTTAGGAATCCTGTCTTAGGGGGTTACAAACAGTCAGACTTTAGGCTGGTCTCCATGGCCCCAGGAGTGACATGTGTCCGTAAGTTAGGTTTTAAGGCAACTGTATGATCATAGAGGCTCAAAAGTTGACAGAGCTAAACGTATAACTTGAGATCTAGCCTTGATTCAAAATTGTGTTGGATAAATTTTTTTCAGGTTTTTTAAAAAAGTTTTTATTTATTTATTTTGAGAGAATTGACTGAGTGGAGGAGGGACAGAGAGAGAAGGAGAGAGAGAATCCCAAGCAGGGAGCCATGAGATTGTGACCCGAAGTCAAGAATTGGTCACTTAACCAACGGAGCCGCCCAGGCACCCTGTTTTGGATACGTTCTTTAAAATTATTTTCTTGTCTCGGTGGTGGAAGGCGAGCTGAGCCATGATCTTTGGCTGCCTTTCCTCCCAGAGCTGGAACCCCGCCAGAAATCATCGGCAGTATGTGAGGGTCCTGTATCTGCCAGAGTCACCTTGACCTTAGAAGAGGGTTTCTGGGGAAGAGGAAAAAAAAGGGGGGGGGGGTTTCTGAGTCCCCTTTGGCCCCGTTGTAGGACTCTAGAGCGTTCACGCGGTCACGCCCCACACACGTTTTCGGGAGATGGCTGTGTCTTGTCCCTCTGTCTGCACTGTTGGCCACCGGAGTTCTCTGCTGCCTGTTTTTAGTGGAGGCTACTTGACACCATTCCAGGGAGGCTGTTGCCATAGCTACCTTGGCTGTGAGTTACCATTTTCTCCTTTTTGTTTGCTTGTGGTTCTCCTGATTTTTAAGGTAACAGCCAATGTGCTGTTTGTCTTCAGAGCAGCAAGGAAAAGACTGGATTTTTGTTGCTGTTGCCTTTGTTGCTGACATTTGGATGTATGTGTTTGGAAGGGGTGTGTGTGTGTTGTATATAAGGTAAAGCTGCAGCAAAAGATAAAATATTAGGAGAGCTTGAGGGAAAAGCCAGGCCTGTGTACACATTTTCGACACTCCCAATCTTCAGTTTTGGTCTGGCGGTCCACTTTGACCCTGATGTGGGGACGAGTGGCTGTAGTCAGGTACCTTCGGTGGGAAAAATATTGGCCGGGTTCCATTCCACACTATACGAGACCCCCAGGATTAAAGATCGCCGCCACCTGGGCAGAGTCTGAACTTGACTCCAGCACCGGGGCTGCCTTCCCCCCCCCCACCCCACCCCCACCCCCCGCCCCAGGAGCAGATGGCTGAGTCAGGCCTGGGGCGCGCTCTCTCCTCCGGCTCTGAAAAGAGGGAGTAGTGCCTGAGGACAGCATAGTCACACCTGTAGGCAGGAGCGTCCATCTGGGTCTCTGTTCCAGGCTGTAACCATGACACTTGGCACACGCCTGGCGCAGGGCGATTCAGGGCCGCCTGTCCACGGAAACCGGTGTGCCGTCCCCGGTCCAGCTTGAGCCTCTCTGGCTGGACTTCTTTCTCCTGCCCCGCAAAGGATGCTCCTGTCAACATTTTCTTTTTTTTTTTTTTTTTTTTTTTTAATTTTTTTTTAAATTTATTTCTAGGAGAGAGAGAGAGAGACAGCGTGAGCAGGGGAGGGTCAGAGAGAGAGGGAGTCACAGACTGAAACAGGCTCCAGGCTCTGAGCTGGCAGTCAGCACAAAGCCCGACACAGGGCCCGAACCCACGAACCGTGAGATCATGACCTAAGCGAAAGTCGGACGCTTAACCGACTAAGCCACCCAGGCGCCCCTCCTGTCAACATTTTCTAATGTGCTTATCCTAGAAGTGCTCATTAGATTAAAAACCAAACAAACAAAAAAAGCCCTGCCCAGTTTATCAGTGCCCAGGACTGTGTGTGATTTGGGTTGTCGCCAGTCTGTTGATGGCTCAAAGGCCGTGCTAGCTGTTACCCCAGGTGGCCCGATGGCCACATGTCTGGATTGGGACATGTCATCACTGGCTTTGCCTCTAGCATGGGGGGCTCCTCCCCTCCTCACTGTGCTTCTTCTTTCTTTCTTTCTTTCTTTCTTTCTTTCTTTCTTTCTTTCTTTCTTTCTTTCTTTCTTTCTTTCTTTTATTTATTTCAGAGAGAGAGAGAGACAGCGTGAACAGGCAAGGGTCAGAGAGAGAGGGAGACACAGAATCTGAAACAGGCTCCAGACTCTAAGCTGGCTGTCAGCACAGAGCCCGACGCGGGGCTCGAACCCACGAACCATGAGATCATGACCTGAGCTGAAGTCAGACGCTTAACCAACTGAGCCACCCAGGCACCCCCTCCTCACGGTGCTTCTAACCCTCAACATGTGCTTCTCCTCAGATCAAGATGAATGCTATGCTAGAGACCCCCGAGCTCCCAGCCGTGTTTGATGGGGTGAAGCTGGCTGCGGTGGCTGCCGTGTTGTACGTGATCGTCCGGTGTTTGAATCTGAAGAGTCCCACCGCCCCGCCTGACCTCTACTTCCAGGACTCGGGGCTCTCGCGCTTTCTGCTCAAATCCTGTCCTCTTCTGACCAAAGAGTGAGTAGACCTCGCGCCCGCCGAATGGCCATCTGCTAATCCTTGTGGCTGGTGCAGTGTTCAAAGAATCGTCTCGTGTTTTGTCCTGAAGGCGTCCGTGTGAGATCGGGTCATTGGTGTGAAAACCGCCACAGCTTCAGTACAAATCTGGTGTTTGGGTCCTGGAGGGTACGAGACAGGGTCAGATCTTTGTTGCCTAGAAAGATCCTTCGCTGCACGCTGTGGCGTCAGCATCCGTGACCAGAGCTTTGCGGAAAGCAGTCGTCATTTTTAAGTAGATTCTGAACCTGTGGATGGTATTCTAGCCCTTTATGGAATGTGCTGTGCCCATCCTCAGACAGAAGAACCGCCCTCACCTAAAATAATCAGTAGGTAAAAGAAAGCACTGACTTCCTAGTTGGGCTCTCTCCATCTACGTTATTGAAAAATGTACTGAACATTAGCTAACCTGCCTGTGAGGGGGCCAGGGTTCCCTGCAGAAGCCCCGGGCCTGGAGTTTGGAGACGGCAAGGGTGAGCTCTGCTTCTGACAGAGGAGCCCTAATGGTGAAGTGACGGGACTCTGCGTTCCGTCCCACCTGTTTTCACAAGGTGCGCGGTTTAATTTTTCCCTGGTGATGTCTTCCGAACACCTCTGTCTTCCTCTAGGGCTCGGGCCACACCTCGGGCACGAAGCATTCCCCGCTGTCCTGGGTCTGAGTCCCTCTCTCCCTTCTCCTTATTGCCGCTTCACCATGTGTCCATCTTCTGGCTGATTCCACTCTGCCAGGTGCATCTTATCAGATGAGAGCCGCTTGCAGAGCTGTCTTACGAAACCGCGTCCCCTCACTCAGCGCAGGGACTCAACTCCATGGGGTTTCTGATACACAGTGCATAGCAGTAGAAGATTTCCCTCTTTCCTGATATCACCTCTCACCCTCTCTGGGGGGCTGGTGGCATGGGGTAAATGATCCTCTTCTAAGAGTGGGCAAAAGGGCAACAGACACATCTAAGAGTTCGGGCTCTTGCTTTGTCTTGGGAGATTGTCTAGTTGATTTTTCCTTGCTCTTAGCCAAGGGTGATGAGCTGCCCTGTGGACTTTACTTGTTTGGGGTGTTTGCGGGGAGTTTTCTTAGTTGCAACAGTGATGCCAAGACCCAAAAGTTAACTACCAAGTTGAGAGTGACTCATAACTCAGTCGTGTGGCCTAAAATTGTGGAGTGCCGCATACAGCATAGGTGTCATCACGTTGAACTTGGAACCGGTGGGGGGCTTCACATCACCATGGGGGGATTGGACAAGTGGGTGGTAGAAAACGCATTCTTATTCGCAGCGTTTGCAGTGAGAAAGCTCCTCCCTGAGGGGTGTGCACAGAACCTGTATGTATGCTTTCCAGATCAGCCAGCATTTTTCTTCACTACTTAATTTTTTTTTTTAATATTTATTCCTTTTTTTTTTTTTTTTTTTTGAGAGAGAGAGAGAGAGCGCATGAGCAGATCAGGGGCAGAGAGAGAGACAGAGAAAGGATCCGAAGCAGGCTCTGTGCTGACAGCAGCAAGCCCGATATGGGGCTTGAACTCACAAACCATGAGATCGTGACCTGAGCCGAAGTTGGACACTTAACCAACTGGGCCACCCAGGCGCCCCCTCACTACTTAGAGAGTTCACTAGTTTGGACTGGCAAGTACCATTGCCACCTGTTTTTGTATTGAGTGGAACCCAGCTAGACCAAGTCCCTTGGCCATCTTATTTTTAGAGAAAAAATGAAGGTATTAAGTAACTATATAAGTTAATGTGTCAATGAGTGTAAATTTCTACCCATCATTGTTCCTGAGTAACTAGAGGAAGCCACGGAAAAGCTGCTGTTGTCCAGGCTCTGGAAAAACATCACATGTAGTTTGATTTCATACTAATTGTTCCAAGCTTAAAAAAAAGTTGATTATGGCAGATTTTTACCTCTTGTCATGTTTTCCTTTAAAATATAACCTAGAAACATAAAGCCCAACGGTTCTCTTTGTTCTTTGTCCTCCCTGGCACACTCACTCCCTGAGCCTGAGGTGTGTGTGGCACCATGTGACGTCCCTGTTGAGGTGGCCCCGCCCACCCTCCTGGGGTAGAATTGGGTCCCTGGCCACAGCGGACTTCCACCGCTACACCAACGCGGCATTAGCCGCCGCATGCTTCCTCCTGGTGAAGCCCAAATTATGGAGGGGTGGCGATCAGCCTTGGTTACTTACCCACAGTTTGAAGGGAGTTCCCCCAAAACTGTTTCCTTCCGAGACCTGTCCCTTTGAGAATAGGACCAGCCTTCTCTGAACATGTTGGAACACTCCTTAAACAGTAAAATTCTAAACATCTGAGCTCTCTGACTTGAACATGACAAATGATCAAAGAACGAAAGGATTCACTTTTTCCCCTCCATCTTTTAACCTTTTTTTTTTTTTAATGTTTATTTTGAGAGAGAGAGAATAGGGGAGGGGCAGAGAGAGAGAGAGGGAGACAGAAGATCTGAAGCGGGCTCTGGGCCGACAGCAGTGAGCCCAATGCAGGCAGGGCTCCAACTCACAAACCATGAGATGGTGACCTGAGCTGAAGTCGGATGCTCAACCGCCTGAGCCATCCAGGCGCCCTGACTAACCTCTTATGCTTTATTTAGGTTCTAATCTTAGGAATAAGCTACTCATATAGCTCATCACCAGAATGTTCTCACGTCACCCTGTTTTGTCTGCGTTTCTTCACTTTAAAGAGGTTTAGCGTCTCTTGTAGACATTAGGCATTTAATCTTCTTAATGACTTTAAGGTTGGCCTCATTTTTCCTCTCATTTTGAGGATGAGGAAACTTCCCAGGAGCAGAGATGGTAACTGAATCCAGCCTTGGTTCCCCTCTTACGCATGGAGAGACATGGACAGACTTCTCAGGGCGCAGAGAAGTGAGCACAGAGCCGTAAGGGGCCAGCCCGAGATGAGAGTCTTTGGCAGGACTGGCCCCAGAGTGGCCTTCCGATTCCCACGTGACCCTTTTTCTATTTTAATCACTCTGCTGGGAGCCACTGTCCTTGATGTTCTTTCTCTGTGCCACATTTCTGTAACGGCCTCCCATATATTTGAGGCTAAGGACAGGAAGCATGTCTGTTACGGGTAAAAGTGCTTCTCCTGAGACTTTGAAGATTTTTTTCCTAGCGGAAGCCTGTCTGCAGCCTTCACAAACAATGGTCTGGGCTAGAAAGTTCAGTTGACTGATTTCCCACAAGCTAATGGTGTTACTCGGTAACCCTGACTGAAGGCAGCCGGTTATTATGACTTAACGTGTGGAATCAGATCTTACCCCCTGCTGTTCGGCTATAGGAAAAAAAAGCTGATGAAAGGTGAAGATTGAAAACATGTTATGAGAATAAAGACCTTTTTTTCCCTTCCTTTCAACATTAAAGTTCGGTTTTGAATCTGTTTTAAGATAGTCTATCCAAAGATACATTAGAAACCCATCTTTTAATGTCTAGAGGAGAACATGGCGTGATGCATTTCTTGATCACTTAGCAACAGATCAATATTTACCTAGTGATTCACTTTTTTTGTTCTCAGGAAATGTCTGCTTTCAGTGAAACAAGCAGACTAAAGCTTGGTTCAGAATTGGGAGAAAATCCCGATGATGCTACAAATCTCCACTTTTTTTCTGAATTAAAAATGTAACGCACGTTCATCTTCTAAAAATGAAAAATAAAGGGAAGCATATGAAAATCATCTATCATTCTCCTACTCCAAGTTACATCCTGTTACTACTTGGGTGATTGTCCCTGTGGGGTTTTTTCTTCTGTAGGTACTTCCCCCCCACAAGATCAGGGGTCTGTATAGCGTTGGGTGGCCTGCTGTAATACTGAGTACACCATGGACGTTTGCCCATACTGCTATGTATTTTCTGACACTTGATTTTTAACAGCTGCAGAATCCTGTCAACCATTCAAATTTCTAATGGCTGTTGGCAGCAGCGGTACAGAGAAAAAGCCTTGAATTGAAATGTGGCCTAGGATGGAAATCTGGGTCTTCTACTTCAACCTAGCTGCGGAAACCAGGACTGTGTGACAGCCCTCCTGGCCCCTGGCTTCCTTCTGTGTAAAATGAAAGAGGCAGCACTCCCGTGGTGCCCTTCAGCACTAGCAACCTGCGTCTAGTACCATCGTCATCACCACGCCTCAGAGAAGTCCTCTTAGATGGAGGACCCTGGGGGTGGGGATCCTGGCTATAGAGTAAGGACAGAAACCCAAAGAGAAGGTTTTCTTATGTATCTGCCATCTCCTACCTGTTTCCATCCCCTGTTTTCTAGGATGGGCTGGCAGTAGCCCCCTTGGGCTTTTGGGCTTTTTTAAGGACTTTTTTTTTTCCCCAGTCTTTTTTGTGCATACATGTTTATTAACATAATTGATTGACACTATACCAACTCTTTGGCCACCTGAAAGTTTCAATTAGAAACATATGTCATAAAAAAAATTTCATTGATAAATTTAATGCCATTTCATCGTGTAAAGCATCATAACATATTTAACCAGTGTCCTATTTTATTGGGCATTTGTGTTTCCATTTTTACATCTTTGTAATTTTAACTATTGCTATGGTGGATGCATATATAGATCTGATTGCTTCCTAGGGTAAATTCTTGTTAATATATTTGCTAAATAAAAAGAAGTACACAGTTTAAGGAATTTACATATTTTGCCAAATTGTTTTCCAGAGGAATTTTTACAGTTTGTTTTTTTTTTTAGTTTATTTTGAGAGAGAGAGTGAGAGAGCACATGAGCAGGGGGTGGGGGGTGGGTGGGCAGGGAGCCAGAAAGAGAAGGAGAGAGAGAAAATCCCAGGCAGGCTTTGCACTGTCAATGCAGAGCCCGATGCCAGGCTCGATCCCACAAACCGAGAGATCATGACCTGAGCCAAAATCAAGACTTGGACGCTTAACCGACTGAGCCCCTCCCCGAGCGCCCTGGAATTTTTACAGGTTATAATCTCAGGAGTGTAGTAGGTTTCCCTTTT